TTTCCCTTCACATCACAATGGCCATTTACACATCACTGTGCTCCCTTTACACATCACTGTGCTCCCTTTACACATCACTGTGCTCCCTTTACACATCACCGTGCTACCTTTACACATCACCGTGCTCCCTTTCCACATCACCGTGCTCCCTTTACACATCACTGTGCTCCATTTACACATCACTGTGCTCCCTTTACACATCACTGTGCTCCCTTTACACATCACTGTGCTCCCTTTACACATCACTGTGCCCCCTATACACATCACTGTGCTCCATTTACACATCACTGTGCTCCCTTTACACATCACTGTGCTCCCTTTACACATCACCATGCTACCTTTACACATCACTGTGCTCCCTTTACACATCACTGTGCTCCCTTTAGACATCACCATGCTACCTTTACACATCACTGTGCTCCCTTTACACATCACCATGCTACCTTTACACATCACCTTGCTACCTTTACACATCACTGTGCTCCCTTTACACATCACCATGCTACCTTTACACATCACCATGCTACCTTTACACATCACTGTGCTCCCTTTACACATCACCATGCTACCTTTACACATCACTGTGCTCCCTTTACACATCACCATGCTACCTTTACACATCACCTTGCTACCTTTACACATCACTGTGCTCCCTTTACACATCACCATGCTACCTTTACACATCACCATGCTACCTTTATACATTACAGTGCTCCCTTAACACAGTGCCCCCTTTCACATCATAGTCACCCTTTACACATTACAGTGATACATAGAATGCATGAAGGTAAAAAAACCTTGCACCTTTACAACCACTTTAAAGTAATACTAAACAGACACTGTTTAATTTACATTATCCCTTCTCTTTCTGTACGTGGATGATGGCACTGGAATTATTTTAGTAATAAAAAACAAAGCATCCAAGTATCCTTTTCCAAATCCATATACAGCTGTCACATGATCCAGCTCTTTCCCAGCCTGTCTGCAGGAAAAATAACAGGAGAAGCTTCTAGTTCTCTGCCGCTGGTCACATGTTCAAAATACAAAAAACAGTCTTTGGGATACAGAGTAAAAATAAATAAATAATATGCATAAACTGTTTTAAATCATCATACAAATATAATTTTGAAATCAAATCTTTATTATTTTTTTGGCAATAACATGGTGTGGGCTGATATCTGCCAATCACATGCTGTGTAATACCCCTCCAGCCTGTGTCTTAGAATAACAGGGAAGTGAAGTAATTTCCCACCCCTATTGTGTTTAGCTGGTTAGTTGGCATGGAGAAGGAGGGAGGAAGAGGGCTGTCATTTACCACTTTGTATGCGCCCACATGTGTGACTCTGTAGTTACATGGGCTGCTGTGATGCAATAGGGAAGAATTACTCAGCACAGAAAATCACTGAAAACTGAGCATGTGCAGTAGATGCCAACACTGCTCTGCAAAATCCCCAACTGCATTGGGGACAGAATGGAAAGATAGAGTACAGCAGGATCAACCAGGTTTTTTTTTGCAGAATACAGAAAAAGAATCCCATAGTGACTGAGTGAGTATGAACAGTATGTAACACATCATTTAGTGATAGTTTTTATGATGTGGGTTTAATGACACTTTAATAATACCAATGTACATTAAAACCTGCATTAAAGCATCCCAATACATCCAGAAAGCCTTCAGTTTCCTTTCAGGTCAGCCCCACACCAAACCCCATAACCATATTCCAGAAAATGTTTTTTTTTAACAGACGGGACATGGGTCAAAATCAAGCAACTGAATGATGCCTTTTCTTTAGAAACAATGAAGAAAATCACTACTTTGATTAGTGATAAAAAAATAACAGTTATATTTACTGTATATTTGTTTTCACTCTTGAGTTCTCACCTTGATGTTCATCAAGTCTCACCTTGATGTTCATACCAGACAGGAGATGAAGGAAGATGAGCCCCATAAACATTTATGGGGTTGCAATGCATCTGCATGACAGCTAAAGAGAGTGTGCACTGTTCAAAGTGCACTGATCCTTTAAGGGCATGATAGCTAGAGAAAAAAACCTTCCATTGGTGCTCTAAGCAACTGTTTATTTTGTTTAATGGTTAATACAGCCCTGGCTGTATGTATTAGGAATCCCTGGTTTATTGACCCTGTAGACAGACGTTAGATACCATAAAGAGATGCTTAAGATGACTTCTGTCTTTAGTTACCCTTAAAGTAAGTTTTGCTGTGATATTTGGGGAATGAATTGCTATGTCTTTAGACGGTTCTGTTTTGTCTGGTTAGAGAATAGCCATTGTCATTCTCTGATATTCCTGAAATTGTCACTCTGGTGTCCATCTGTACAACCTTCAAATTGATGACACCCTTCTCTTAACAGCTCCCGTCCCATGCCTTTACTTGCCTATTCCTAATCCCATTCTGTCTTGTGAATATTTGCATCAAGTTATCTTTAAAAATAATTGTGAAAAAGTAAAGTATCCCCACTACTGTACATATGACAGATGGTCTAACAAGAGATTAGACCACTGTGATTGGGAGTTTTTTTTTCAGCAAATGATGTATATTCTTGTATATACACAAAAAAATTATCCGAAAATCTAGAAAATGGCAGGAGAAAATAGATACAAAATATTTCACTACATGTAATTGGGTTGATTTACTAAACGCAAATAGACTGATCGCTTTGCAGGTGCAATTACTTCAGAGCTTAGTAAATGAGGTGATGTTCTGCGACTTCCATCATCCAATCATGTGCAAGCAAAAGTGTTGATTTTTTAAATTTTCCTTGCATGTGATAGGGTATTCTTTGTAAAGTGTATTTTTACCTAATTTAACAAGCTCTAGAGCAACTTGCAAAGTGCACAGTCTGTTTGCTTTTAGTAAATCATCCACAATGTTTCTGTGTTTTTCCATATTTAGCTTTCTATGCATTACTGTTGAGAGAACTGATCCAAAAAGGTAGAGACTACTCCAATCTGGCTATTATATTTTTAAATTTCTTAAATACAGCATGCCTGGATCCAGGGCCATAGATATGGGGGTACCACCAGTCCTCCTGTATGGGGCCCAGGTCAGCAGGGGGGCCCAGGCAGCTGGGTGAATAGAATGTGGGAAGGGAGGGTAATCGACAAAGTGTGGGGGGGTGATTATGGAATGGAACTGATCCCTTGTATGCCTCTCTCTGCAGCAGCTGAAAGCTGGCTTCTTCTGCACTCCCTCCCTCTGGCTTTCAGCTGCTGCAGAGGGAGCCATACAGGGGATCGTTTCCAATAATTGCCCCTCACCACCCCCACCCCCACAGTGCTGTCGGGTTCCCTCCTCTCCTAACTACCAGCAGCTGCAAGCGCACAATAGGAACCTTCAGGATGGAGAATGTAAATATATTTTCCAGCCCCTTCCTTTCCTCAATGAACACAATGAGTGCTCGGTATCAATCACTGTGTTCTTTCATAACTGAAGCATAGTAAACTGTGATTTTTTTTTTTTTGGGTGAGGGCCCTGTCAGTTTGGCTGTGTGGGACCCCATGGTTTCTAACAGCAGCCCTGCCTGGGCCATTACTTATTTAACTCATGTATTTATTTATTTCTTTATTGAATTGACACCCTTTTATAAAGTATTCAACCATTTTTGCTTTTTGAGGTAAATATCTCATAAAGGGATAGTGAATTGACATTTTCATTATCTCATGAGATATAATTATGAAAAAAAATGTGTCAGAATACCTCATGCAATATGCTTTATAGAGTTACTTATAGAGTTTATAGGAACTAAAAAGAAACATACTCAGTGGGGTTGATTTGCTAAAGGCAAATGCACTGTTCACTTTGCAAATTAAATTGCACTCTTCAAGGGAATTTTCTCTAGAGCTTAGTAAATGTGGTGAAGTTTCACTTTGTATAGAATAACCCAATTACATAGTTACATAGTTAGCCTGGCTGAAAAAAGACAAAAGTCCATCCAGTTCAACCATAGAAAAAAAAAAAAAAAGTTATAATTGTACACCCACAGTTGATCCAGAGGAGGGCAAAAAAAAATACCCAGCAAAGCATGATCCAATTTGCTCCTGCTGGGAAAAACAATTCCTTCCTGATCCCCCGAGAGGCAATCGGATATTCCCTGGATCAACTCTACCTATAAATGTTAGTATCCAGTTATATTCTTTGTATCTAGGAAACAATCCAGGCCTTTTTTATAACAATCCACTGAGCTGGCCAGAACCAACTCTTGAGGGAGTCTATTCCACATTTTCACAGCTCTCACTGTGAAGAAACCTTTCCATGTTTGGAGATTACATTTATTTTCCTCCAGACGTAAAGTGTGCCCCTTGTCCTCTGTGATGACCTCAGGGTGAATAGCTCTACACCGAGTTCACTATATGACCCACTGATGTATTTATACATGTTGATCATATCCCCCCTTAATCTCCTCTTCTCAAGAGAGAATACATTCAGTTCCTCTAATCTTTCCTCATAGCTGATCTCCTCCATGCCTCATATCAGTTTGGTTGCCCTTCTCTGTACTTTCTCCAGTTCCCCAATGTTCTTTTTGTGAATTGCTGCCCAAAATTGAACTGCATATTCCAGATGAGGTCTTACTAATGATTTGTACAGGGGTAATATGATATCTCTCTCTGGAGTCTATACCTCTTTTAATACAAGAGAGGATTTTGCTCACTTTAGAAAGCGCAGCTTGGCATTGCATGCCATTATTAAGCTTGTGATCTACCAGAACTCCCAGATCCTTTTCCACCATTGATTCGCCCAGGAAAATAAAGAAAATAATTTTTTCTTGCACATGGTTGGATGATGGAAGTCAGCAGAGCTTCACCTCATTCAGTAAGCTCTGGGGATAATTCCCTTATACAGTGCAACTGCACTTGCAAAGTGAACAGTCTATTTGCTTTTAAATGATCAACTCCAGTGTGTCTTTCTTTTGTGTAACGTGACATTGTTAGTGCAAGAGGGTTCCTTCTATGAATAGACAAAAACAAAATGTTTGCTATCACTACTCACCTAGATCACAGCCTCTTTTTAATCTGCGCCTGGCAAGTTTGATCTGATCCTGGAGGATTTGTACCCAATGTCGTGGGCCAGGAACCTTTTCCACATTGTTAGCAGCACAATACTTCTCTGTGAAAACTGAAGAAAAGGCATAACATAAAGAAAAGTAGATTGACGGAACATTGTCTCTTCTGTGGGCAGACAGCAATATACAGTTTCTGGGAATAAGCCTAAATGTGTATAAAAACTGCATTAATAATATTGGAGGAAAGTGGCTCAAACTGCTGCATATACAAAATGGTAATGAAGGCTCAATCACTCTGCAGATGAGATGTGTTTGTGCATCCTCATTTGAACTTGCTAATACAAAGGAGCAGAGACAATGCAGCACATGAGTACTAGCTGCAAAAATCAGGAAAGATTTGCTCTGCAGTGATTTTAAGATAGGAGACAAGTTCTTCTGCCTATTATTGTAGAAAAATGTAAAACATTTTTGGTTGAGAATATGATTAGTGCCCGTTCACATATTTAAGGATTGGATGCGGTCTGAACCGTATCCAATCCGCATGACATGTGAAAAACCATTGCTTCCTATGGTGCCTGTTCACATATGTCCAGTGCACTGGTGGTACAGATTCAGTGTGGTTTGAAAAAGAGTCATGTACGATTTCTGAGCAGTGTGTCCGGTTCAGGTGCGGATTACAGGCCATTGACTTCTATGGGAACCGTTTCTAAGTGCTGATTCACATATGAGCGGTGTGGATTGACGCTCAGGTTTTACAGGTAATTGACATAAAAGTTGTTTCAGCAGTTGGTGTCAGGTTTACATCAAGTTCAGAACAGGATTAGCTCAGGATCTTATCTTGTTCACACATATGCGGTTTAGGAACGGATCCCATAGATGTCAATAGCCTGTAATCCGCACCTGAACTGGACCGTACTGCTCAGAAATTGGACATGACTCTTTTTAAAACTTCACTGAATCCGCACCGGCAGCGCACCATACATATGTGAACAGGCACCCTAGGAAGCAATGTTTTTCACATGTCATACAGACTGCATCCAATCCACATATATGTGAACAGGCACTGACATGTGAACAGGATAAAATCCTAAGCTGATCCTGTCCTGAACCTGATGTAAACCTGGCCTGAACCAGTGAACAGCTACTGGGCACAATTCACTAAGCGGTATCTTACCGCATCCGAGTATATGGTAGGATACCGCATAGCATTTAAAAAAAGTTTGAATTCACTAAAAAACGCTACTAAAACACCGCATGAGCTATTTTATCAAGTCATGTGGTATTTTAGTAGTTAAAACCATGCGTTAATGTTTCAGCTGTCAGCGGGGTTCCCCACTGACAGCTGAATGTAAAAGAAAGAATTGCCAGCAATTAAAAAAATAATTTAAAAAAAACGCCAAAATGTAAAAAAAAATTGCGTGGGGTCCCCCCCAAAATCCATACCAGACCCTTATCCAAGCAGGTCAGGAAACGGCGCATGAGCGACCGCCCCCTCCTGAACCATACCAGGCCACATGCCCTCAATATGGGGGGGGTGCTTTGGGGAAGGGGGGGACAAGGGCCTCTTCTCCACAACCCTTGCTGGTGGTTGTGGGGGTTTGCAGGCAGGGGGCTTGTCGGAATCTGGAAGCCCCCTTTAACAAGTGGGCCCCCAGATCCTAGCCCCAACCCCCCCCCCCGTGTGAATGAGTATGGGGTACATGGTACCGCTACCCATTCACAAAAAAAACAGTGTACTGTGAAAAAAGGCAGGAGACAGTCTTTTACAAGTCCTTTACTAAAAGGAGGAAAATAAAAGAATGTCCCCTGACATAGATCCAACATCAATCACGATGCACGCCACTGCCGCTACCCAAAAAAAAGAAAAAAAAGGCTCCACTCTTGATGCTGGCTCCTGCCATCTCACTACTCCGTTGGCTTGACAGTTCTTAAATATGTAAGGGTCGGGGTCACCCGGTGACATCACGCATGTGACCCCACCCCTTGTGACATCTTCAACCAGGGCATGCTGCATCAATGATGTCATACGGGGGCAGGGTCACATACGTGATGTCACTGGGTGGCATGTGATATGTGGTCATGCGACTGACTTAACTCATGTGATAAGCTTTAGTGAATTGTGCCCACTGTGTCAATTAGCTGTGAAACCTGAGCTTCCATCCGCACCGCACGTGTGTGAATCAGCACTATGAATGGTCTTGAACAAACAGGTAACAGAATGTTAACCTTTCCTGCAGACATTTCTGTTCTGGGTTCTGGCTAGATCTTTGCTGAATGGGATTCAGGGACTGATATTCAGGATATTCAGGCAGGGCCAACTAATTACATGCTCTACTCTGATATTCCTCCTCTGCAGAGATGCCAAAGCATTGGTCATATAATTGGCACTAGAAGCCACTTAGCAGCGGTCTCTGTGGAAAAGTTGATGCTGTTACCTTTTATAGAATATGTAAATCCAACATAATTATTCCTGATATGTGCCTGCTGTACCATGTACTTGTATGAAAAAGTATTCTGTTTTCCTTGCTTCCTTTGTGTGAAATCCTTGGTGTTCCTGCCTGCTTTCCTATTAAAAAATGACCACACTAGGCATGAAAGCACAAGGTGGTCAGTTCTCTATCTGTGCTGGGAACTCAGCCTGCTCTTCTCCAATGATCAGATGTCTGTTCACATGCCTCCCCTGCATAGCCATTCACTGGGAAGTTCAGTGTACTAGAGTTTATCCCCCACCTCCCAGGTTTCTGTTTTCAGCTGCATATGGAACTCAGAGGGTATGTGATCACTTAAAAAACAGGGTATTTATAATGTATTTTATATCTAAACATCAATGTTTTGCCCTTCATTTCTATTTGAAACCAAATGGGTTTGTTTTCCAAGGTGAGGGTTCACATATACTATAATTTTAAATAAGTACATTTGGCATATTATATGGGCATCATAATTTGAGAATACGTTCACATTAATTACATTTTTGCTTTAGTTAAAGCGACTGCCTGTCCTCTGTGTGCTTCTGAGTCTCCAGTGATCCCTATGTGCTCCTGTGTCTTTAGTGACTCCTCTGCAGCCCTGCATCTTCAGTTAATTTTGTGACCCTTGTGCAGTCCTGGGTCTACAGTGATCTCTGTGCACCTTGCTACTCTAGAGCATCCGGCTTCATCCATTGACCCCAGGGCATCCTGTATCACCCAGGAACCACTGTGTCGCCAACGGGACCCCAGAGCATCACCTAACTTCAATGTGCCCTATGCACCCCATTACTTCAGTGCACTCCGGAGCATTCTATGTCATTCAATGACTCCAGTGCACCCTGACCATCTCCATGACACCTGTGTCTCCACACATCCTCAGGCAGGCTCGTGTAATTAACTGGACAGACTCTCTACCTGTGGATATGGGCCCCTGTCTGTGACAGCTATTTTTCAGAAGGAATTCAAGACTAAGGGTAGATATTTTGGGAGACTGCTAAGGCATAACTTACATTTCTATGTTCCCTATAACATAGTAAATCTTTACCTTGTGAGTTCTGGTCCACTTTTAATACTGTTCTATTAAGTATTCTGTGGTTATATTAATGATCATATTATTTGTAATAGTCATCCTTTAATGAGATCACTATCACAAAAATATTGAATTCTGATACATTTTAAACATGTTGGTTTAACCACCTCCTGCCCGCCATATAGTAATATGTGGACGCAAGGTGGTTCTCTCATTCTGGGAGGACGTCATATGATGTCCTCCCATTCTCAGCGGATCACCGATCACGGAAAGAGCTGAAGGTGTCGGCTCGGTCATGTGATCAGCTGTGTCCAATCAGAGCTGATCACATGTAAACAGGGAAATGCCGGTTATCGGCATTTCTCTCCTCTCGAGCTGTCACACTGACAGCTCGAGAGGAGAGCCGGTAATCGGCTTTCCGCAGAGGGGACATGCACACAGATCATCAGAGCACTGATGATCAGTGTGCCCTAATGATCTGTGTAGCCCCAGCAGTACCACCTGTCAGTGTCTTCAGTGCCTTGTGTCAATGCTCATCAGTGCCTCGTGCCAGTGCCCATCAGTGCCACATCAATGCCACATATCAGTGCTACCAGTGCACATCAATGCCACATACCAGTGCCCATCTGAGCTGCTTTCAGTGCCACCCATCAATGCCAATCAGTGCCACCTATCAGTGCTGCCAGTCAGTGCCGCCTATCAGTGTCAGCCAGTGCCACCTAACAGTGCCAGTCAGTGCCACCTAACAGTGCCAGTCAGTGCCATGTATAAGTGCCATGTATCAGTGCTGCCTTTCAGTGCCCATCAGTGATGCCTGTCAATGCCCATCAGTGCCACCTACCAGTGCCTCCTCATCATTGCCCATCAGTGCCACCTATCAGTGTCCATCAGTGCACCCTATCAGTGCCCATCACTGCAGCCTCATTAGCGCATATCAGTGAAGGAGAAAAAATCACTTATTCACAAAAGTTTATAACAAAAACTAAGAAAAACACTTTTTTTTTTTTAACTTTTCAGTGGTTTTTGGTTTGTTTAAGAAAAAATAAAAAACTCAGAGGTGATTAAACCACCAAAATAAAGCTCTATCTGTCACAAAAAAATGATAAAAATTTCATATGGGTACAGTGTTGCATGACCGCGCAATTGTCATTCAAAGTGCGACAGCACTGAAAGCTGGAAATTGGCCTGGGCAAGAAGGGGGTATAAGTGCCCTGTAGGCAAGTGGTTAAACATGTAATGATAGTATTCAGTATTTTACATGCCTTTATTTCTATTCTTTTTCCATGTTTGTATGCCAGTCAAGCTGTTCATCAACTCTGACAGGGGTTAAGACAAATTAAAATACTGCTAGGTTTAAATCTTATAAAAAAACTAATATCTGTGGTGTAGTTTGTCTCAACCCCTGTCACTGTCACCGGACATGTTGGTTTGCATGAAATAAAGTAAAATCAAAGCAAGTGGCATAAACAAATATATTCTAAATACTATACAATGCCATTGCTATGAGCTACCAAGCCTTGCTTTATGGAAATAAATAAAGGACTATGACTATGCTACAGTTACATTTTCAAATCAGTTTAACCCAATTTATGCTAAATTTCAGTGGGGGAAGATTACAGTATAAATGTTTTTTTTAACTACTTGCCCTCCAGAGAATTTACCCCCCTTCCTGACCAGGCCATTTTCTGCGATATGGCGCTGCATTACTGTAACTGAAAATTGCGCAGTCAGGCAATGCTGTATATAAATGAAATTTATGTCCTTTTTTCCACAAATATAGCTTTCTTTCAGTGGTATTTGATCACCTCTGTAGTTTTTATTTTTTGCGCTAAGAACAAAAAAAAAGACCAACAATTTTTGAAAAAAAAAAAAAACCCCCCCAGTATTTTTGACTTTTGCTATAAAGCATCCAATAAAAAAAATTTTAAAAATCAATTTTTGTCATAAATTTAGGTCAAAATGTATTCTGCTACATTTCTTTGCTAAAAAAAAATCCCAATGCGTGTTAATTACTTGGTTTATGTGAAAGTTATACTAATCTACAAATGGCAGTGTATATACTGGAATTTTTTTTTTTTTTTTTATACTAGTAAGTGCGGCGATCAGCGACTTATAGCGAGACTGCAGTAGGCATTCTGACACTGGGTGAGAACTGATTAACTGCCGCTGACATCTCCAGTGACAGTAATACAGGGATCAGTGTTAATAAAAACACTGTACTGATGGCACAGGGCAGGAAGGGGTTAACTTTTGGGCGATCAAAGGGATAACTGTGTGCTGTGTGTGTTTTACTGTGTGTGCTTGCTGTTTTACTACAGAGACATGTTGCTTTGTATTTCTCTGCTGTGCAGAGAAATACAAAGCAGCATGTCCTTGCTGGCAGGAGTGTGTTGACAGGGGAGAGATCTGTGTGTAGTTTACACACAGCTCTCTCCCCTGTCAGTTTTAAACGGTGATCACCGGGGCCAGCGGGGAATCTCCGGCCGGGACCAAGAGATTGACATCCCTAGCTGCCAATGGCATTTAAAAATTATAAAACGGCAGCTCTTGTGTGTGTATAACTGGAATAGGCATGTTTACTAAATGTGTACTAAATACATGTTTCATATACTTCCATACAGGAAGAGCAGGAAACTTGGGACTGCCTGGCCTGTGAGCTGGCAGTCTAGGGAACCTGGGCCTGTTGCACAGAAATAAGGCTAGGATAAAAATTAGAGGTAATATGCAGGTTACCCGTGTCTCCTTCTTTTTAAAAGGCAAACTTTTGTTCCTATATGTTTCTCAAATTAAATATTCCTTGGTTATGACACTATATAAACACTTTTTGTACAATCAGAACACATACCACATGACTTGGGAAAGGAAATCATGGATTATGATCTATGTGTACCTTTTATTGCTCCCACAATATTTTGATCCAATCCTTGTCTGTTGTCATTGAGTCCACGCTTCCGTTTTCCATTTGGTAGTGATGATGCCAAAGTTTTATCATCGAAAAAAGCACAGACAAGTTTTCTAAAGAGAAGGCTCCCTGACCTCTTGTAATTGGATAGTATGGAGTCAAGCTGGGATTTCGGCATGAAGACATCAAACCCTTCAGCCAGCTGCACATCTGGCTATCAAAGTAAAATAATGCAATGAATATAGATATCAGTATGTCTACAATCCAAAAGTATTATGCAAAACAATTGAAGTAATGCCTTCTTTTAAACATACTACGTGACTACATGAGACAGCTTATCAGTTTTACTTTCTCTATATTTTCCTAGTGTTTACAGGCAAGTATAACCTCTTTTCACGCTACAAGATGACAGCATTGTGTAAACATAATAATCTCATTATACTTCCAAAGATTTGGTCTGGTGAGTTAGCTACTCCTTTCAAAGAAATATTATATGAAAAAATATAATAAGCAAAGTCTATACGAGTGGTGGTCAACTTTAAAATTATAGAGGGTTTCAAGTGCGGCTTCCAATACCTCCAGAGGGCTGCACAATAGCAGTACATTTTCGGACATCGAAAAATGTTGGTCCTGCTGCATTTTTTCCAGTATATCACAATGCAAACTGAAGTTGGAGTACAATAACCCCCATCATTGGTTTCAGTGAGTTCAACAATAACCCCCAACATCAGTGTCAGTGAGTGCAATAATAACCCCTCCATGTGTTAGTCAGTGGAAGTGAGAGTTAACCACCTCCTTAAATTTTTTGGTTAGTGGCAGTGAGAGGTAACCCACCTACCACGCTGCTGGTCACTGGCAGTGAAATGAATCCCCCCAGCTTTGCTGGTCACTGGTAGTGAAACTGAAACCCCCTCGACCCCCCTGCATTGTGGTCAGTGGCAGTGAAAGCTAACCCCCCACATCCAACCCCCAGGGCAATGGTGATTATCAGGGATGGGACAACGGGTGGGCAGGAGAGGTGGCTGCCCTGGGAGTTTGGGGGATGTGCTACAACAGGTGATTTTGAGGGGGGATTTGTACAAAGGGAGTGTATTTCTGTTAGGAAGGGGGATTTGGGAGGGGGGGGAGGTTGTGCTAGTTGGGATCACTTGGGGGATTTGTTCTAGGAGGGGAAATCTGGGGGGAGAATTAGTACTAGGAGTGGGGATTTGTGTTGGGGGAGGGAAATTTGGAAAGGGGGGGATTTATGCTCAGATTTTTTTAAATTTGAGGGCTAGACTATTTGTGCTATGAGGGGGGATTTGGGAAAGGAGAGGATTTGAGCTGGGAAGGGGGGATTAATACTTGAAGAGGGGGAATTTTTGTTTGGGGAGAGTTTTGGCTTGCAAAGGGAATTTATGCTTAGGGAGTAAATGTGAAGATTAATGCTCACATTTTTTTGAGGGGGGGGGGGGGAGATTTGTGCTGACACAAAATGCTCACACATTTTAGAAAGGGGGCCTTTTGGCAACTTTGCCCTGGAAGTAGATGACCTTGTCCCAGCACTGGTGGTTATGGTAGTGAAAGTAACCCCCTCCCATTGGTGATCCCATACCCATCACATGCTCCTGTGCTACTCTCTCCCCAGGCTGGGATTTTGCTTTTAGTGTGGGTGGTGATAACTCAACCCGCAGTACAGTCTCTCTCATTCAATGCCAGGTGTTAGAACAAAGAGTGTTTCAGCACCCGGCACCCTGCTGCACACTCTGCTTTCTGTATGGTGCCCAATAGCCTACCGGTTGCACACACAGGGCTGGTGCACCAGGACAATCAAATTAACACTAGCTTCATTCTACCAAAAAATGCATGAAAACAATACATATATTATCTTTGAAATCACATAATGTAACTAGAGGCAATATGCTTTGTAATGATAAAATTTGAAGAAAATATATTCTTATAACATCCATATATTAAGATGATGTGGCAGTTCACAAATTATTACATTTTTTAAGACATCATTTGAATATCTATCATTTGAGTATTTATGGGAAAGAGAAAACAGTGTGTAAAGGACAAATGCTAATGTTTTTAGCTTTGGTGTAATGAGGAGCTGTGTGAAATGCAAAACCTTGATGAAGGCCAAAGCAACTAATTAACCTTTGAATTGCAACTTACATCAGAAGATGACGAGTTGACAACAATACCAAATCCCGGTACATGATTCTCTTCTTTCTTGACATGCTCTGCTTGTAACAAACTGGCTCTTTCTGGAAGTACCACAGTTTTATGTTCCCTTACACTCATGCTGTGTACACTATGAACTGGTGGCACCACTGCGTTCTTTGGAAGGACTTTTTTCTTTATTATTCGCTTCCTTGACAGAGCTGCCTTCTGGGAGCAAACACAAGACTGGGGAAGCTGTTGCCGGCTTTGTGCCACTACATAAAAAGATGCAAGAGAGTAGATGAAACATGAATGAAAGATGAAAGCTAATTTTCTAGCTTAAGTATGTTGTAATAATAAAAAATGTATCAATAAAATACTGCCAGTTATCTTGCAATAGTGGAAAAATTTATGTGGAGTCAACAAGTTCAATAAAAGCAACAGATGGTTATTTTTTTATTGTAGCCAAGGAACCGTTTCCACAGATAGTAACAGGGAGGGCTTAAAAAAAACTTGGGTGAATTAGTACAGATACCTCTCTCCTAGGGTTTCAACATCTTTGAATTACATCAGTCATTGCAACGTGATACATGATTATATTTCGCACAATTGACAACACACATTCTATTTTCCCCTTTTAAAAGTAAAGAATTTTCTTTAAAACCTTAACGTTTAGTTATCAAAACATACTCATTGTACTAGTCAGCTTCTGTGGCTACATTACATGCCTGGTGCCTTCATTGTGCTTCTGTGCAACCAAGGTTTGAAGCTAAATTGAAGTGGATGTGAGCTAGTACATGGATCAAATGGCCCTAAAATAACGGGGATGATTGCAATATTAACCAAGGATCCCTCACTTTACTTACTTGCAAAATGCAAGATTTGGTCATTACACCTTATTCGTGATTCTCAGTCATGCAGCAGTACAATTCTCAGATTCTGCCCGCACCAAGTCTTCCTTTAATATTCAGCTTTCAAATGCGAGACCATCTATTGTCCACTTAGGTTCTGATATTTGGTAATCAAATGATGGAGTAGGGCTTACTACAGGAAAGGGGTTGAACCAAATCTTTACCTGGGCAGAAATTCAGGCTCCAGGCACAGACTGGGTTTAGGTCCAACAGGGCTCTGCAAGGACCCAGGGATTGATATGAAGACAATTACAGGTATTTGCAGTTACCCACACTACCAAGTGTAGGCTTATAAATACAGCTGTTACATTTTTTTAGGAGAGCTCAGGTTCACTTTACAGCTATAACCCAACATCAGATTATAGGCAGATCTACAAGTGTGATCTGATAGCTGCATCATTTTCTGGATATTTCAATAATCATGCATGTGTGGTCTGATTGAGTGTATGTGTTATGTCTATGGAGGATCAATAGGAAGGGCAGAAAAAAAATTCCCAGAGGCAGTTTACCTTCATACTGTGAAAACCAGTATTCCTAAAAATGGGGATGGAGTGGTGGCATTGTGTATTCATGGATGGGGAGTAGGTTGGAAGATTACTCGCTCTATACATACCCTGTAGGGAGGAAAAAGTGTGTCCACATAGGCTGTGCTAAGTGATAGGTGTGGCCACACTAGAAGTGTTTGCCCATGGGAATATACAGTAGTAGGGTGGTAGATCAGTGGCCCTCCTATATACACCCTTCCAGGCGGAATGAAGTGTATACTGATCACTGGCCTCCTGTATGTCTGTGGATGGGAAGTACGGTAGAGATCACTGTCTTGTTTTGTGTCTATGGATGGGGAATGGGGCGGCTTTACTGGAGTCCTATACATACCCTACAGATAGGACTGAAGTGTGTCTTGATCACTGCCTCCTTCCAATGTGAGCCCATTGCTGACATCTAGGCTACCTGTGCTAGTGATTCTAGGCATCTCCTGAAGACTGAAGTTCAACCCCATCCAGCAGTCCCCATGCTGCATTCCTCCTAGAAAGCAATCTCCTCCTGTGCTCCAAATTCAGCCCCCTTCTCTTCCTGCTCACATCACACTGCCTGGGCCTCTAACCAGTGCCCAGTAAGCAGCACAGCATGCGCGACTCAGTAGATCTAGGCTACCTGTGCTAGTGATTCTAGGCCGGGATTACACAGGCATGTTTACAAATCATGACATCCCCGACAGGCAGGCTGACCTGGAGATTTTTACAAATTTGGCAATGACTCGGCAACATGAGCGAAATGTTGGCCTTGCCGGTCGATTGCTGGAAAGTTCAAGGTCATGTTTATCCTTGGAGAAAACAAAAGAGATTGGCTGGGAACAATCAACTCAGCCAGTTAATTCTTACTGTGAGGAGGATTGGAGAGGGGATGCCTGGAGAGATCAGGGATTGATCAAAGACATACAATCACTTCTTTATCAGCTATAATTTAACTTTAGTAAGAGTAAATAACAATTTTTATTAAAGTCATAAATGTGCTTTATCTGGATGACTAATCCATTCTGCAAACTGTATGTAAACAGAGAAGTATGATTTAAAAAAAACACCCACACATTACATGAGGGTGGTGATGTAGTACAAAGAGCAATTAATGGCATAGCAAGATGGCTATAGACTAATATAATAGACGACTAGACTGAAGGAGGAATAAATTGGATGTTTTAGTACAAACAGCAGTAAAACAGCATAAAGCTGGTCACACACATGGGATGGTTTTTATTAGAAGATTCAGCAAACATTCTAGTAACTAAACAATGATTGCAGTATTCTAGGTACAAGAATGATTGTTGACAACTGACTTGGAAAATCATACTGTGCACTTGATCATTTTTGAGCAAAGTTATCTATAAATGCAGTCATTTAGAGACTACTGCCTTTGCAAATTGGACCTTATTTATATTAGTGTTTCCAAAAAAGCTAAACTAAGGAAAAACTGTATTTTGACAGTTGCTTTATAAGTATAAAATACCTCCAATGATTGTGGTCCCATATTTGGCTGCTATATTATTTGATTTAGCTCTTACTGTCATGAATCCTGTTTACCACTGTAAACTAAACTTCTGGAGCTAAAACATAGGTTGAGTTTACACTTGAAGTTGGGGGAGGTAAACTGAATCCAACTGCCCCCCATTTAAGCTGCAAAGGCAGTCAGACAAGGCTGTCTAGATAAAGCGGCCATGATGCTTTGCTGCATGTTGAAAATTATTGCCAACTGATAATTATTTCTAAGTGAATGCTAGGCTCACAGTTGTGGCAGGGTATTCTAATTCAAAAACCCCATTCAGAAGTGCAACGAAAAACAAAAATGTCAAATACCGATATGGCAAAGGTGCTCATGGTGGTGTATAGTGATATTAAAGGATAAGCTCACTTTGTGCATTTATACATTTTTTTCTTAGGGGCCTGTAAAGCATTGCACCCACAATCAGAAGATGACGTGTGCAATGAAAGGCTCCTGCAGACTGTCAGTAGAGCTGACTGCCCATACCTCTGATACAGGCAGGCAGTTACTGAACTCCAGGAAGATCAATGAACTACGAGAGTGCTCACCAGCACCCTCGTACCTCACTGAGAACTGCAGACTGTCTGCCGCAATGACTGACAGTAGTTGTAGTTCATTCATTCACAGAACTCTGTGAATGAATGACGTGGCCGTGTGGGTGTTTTTGAATTGTGACAGCGGGTGGAAAGGAGAGGATCCCCTGTCCATTGTCATAATGGGGAAATGGGTCAGGTTGGCAGCAAGTGATTTAGTAAAATGTTACACCTTAAATATGGGTGTAACATGTAACATGTTACTACAGGTGAACTTATCCTCGTAATTTTAGAGATGAAAAAATTCCACGCTTCCTAGTTGCTCAGCAATCATTGGCATTTCTGTGTTAGGCAGACCATACATAACACATTTTTTTTTTTTGCTCAACCAGCAGGTTGAATGGAAAAAAATGTTCCAATTTGTTGAAAAAAATGTTCCAACATATTCAAGGTGGATGGGGAAATTACTCCCTCAGTGCTATTGTGTTGTGATGGCATGGGGGCCTTGCCCACCCCACCAGTGCTGACGGCACTGATCGTTCAGGACAAAAACTATAGGCTGGTTGTACACAAATCAGTTGATAGATTGACTTGTGTACAACCAGCTAGCCCACACATGATCTAAATTTGGCTGGTCCCTGCTGAACCAACTGAATTTCGATCCATGTTTGGCTGGCTTAAGATTGTGAGATTTTAGGAAGCGAGTAGCTTTTTATGTTGACACCATAAAACTGATAAAGTGTTGGATCAGCCATGAAATGCATCTTTTTGGGTGTATTTTAAAAATCTTCTTGTTCACCTCTTAACTTACAATGACTTTGATCACCTTCACAAGCATCACTATATACCACCATGGGCACCTGTAAGGGACCACCAGGCGGTACCACTAGCACTCCACTGGCCAGGCGTCCCCAGCGCACGGTATCTAAGCCCCAGGGTACGTGTTCACCAGAGCCCCTGATGGTGAGGATGGACTTGAAGTACCCCGAGACCAGGTCGTGGCTACTGAGCACGCCCGTCAGTGGTAGCGGTATTCGCCAGGGGCTCCCGCAGGGAAGAGCCTGATGTGAGGAGGTCGGGTGATCCCGTCGGGATGGATGGATGGATGGCTGAGCAAAGTGCGGGGTCAAACGGGCCGGGTCGGTATATGGTAACAGTGGGGACGGAGCAGTACAAGGCAGCGGGCAGAGAGTAGTCGGGTCACACGCCAGGTCAGCAACGGAAGGTCAGATCCAAACAGGGGCATTCAGGAGAGAGGTCAGGCAAAGCAAGGGTCTGGGCAGGAGAAGGCAACAAGGTCAGGTATAATCCGGGTCAATAACTTACTAGAACAGGTTCGCAGATACAGGATACAAGGAAAGACCAGAAGGCACTGAATGACAGCTCAGGGCCGTTTAAATATATCCCGCCCTGCGCTGCCATTGGTGCCACGCGCGCGCCCGCGGTCCCCACTGCGCATGCGCGAACTCCCTCGCCGCGGACGGCCAGGTCTCAGTGCCCGCATTCTGACACGGAGCGGTGCACTGCGCCTGCGCCGAGCCCGTCGCAGCGGGGATTCCTGACAGCACCTCTGCCATATCAGTAGTTGACTTTTTTTTCCTTGCATTTCTAATAAACATCAACCTGTTTTCCCCAATGAGGACCAAAGGCCATGTTTCCTGAGGCATTGAGAGCAACCAATTCCTGCATTTCCACACTCCTTGGAAGCGTGCATTTACCTTCACACTTGTTATTCACAACCTAACCAAATGTACATATTGAATTACATCTCTTTTAGTCTTCATGCATACTGGACAT